GAAAAATAAGATAATGGATCATATTTTTGTGGAATACATCTACCCATTTTCTTTTTTAATTCTAAAATATATTTAATTTTTTTTAAAAAAATACCTCTCACAGGCGCGGAAGTGTGTGTGAATTTGTTAAGCAAATTGTTTTCTTTGTTAGGGCAGTTTTCGTTGGCATTTTAATACCCTAGGTTTTATCTGTTAAGAAAATTCCTATGTTTTGGCTAGAAAGGTTCTATTTCTTCCTTTTTTGTTGTCAAATTCAAAATAGGAAAAAGTCATTTGTTTAAATGATTTTTTCAATATGAGAATAATAGTGTCCATATTTTATATTAATTTATTTTCTTTTTAACGAATGATAATATACTTATTAAATTTTTATTGTATCTATAAAATTTTATCAATAATAATCTACGTATTATATATCTTTTATGAATTATAATTTACCTATTCTTGTGAGTTAATAAAAATAGCATCTGTAGTATTCAAAATATTATGTACATGTCTTTAATTTGTAACAAGTGTACATAGTTTTTTCAAAGTAACGCACTTATTATTATTCTTTTATATATATATATATATATATAGAAATAATGTACCTTGGTTAGAAAAAGAAAAAGACATAATGTAACTATATTTAAATCAAATGATTTAAGGATATTTTTTGGTCAAATTTGTAGCAATTTTTTTTGGTCGAAATTCAAGGGTTTTTATTTTCTCGAAATTTTAGGGATTAGAGGGAACACCAAACAAAAAATTGGAGTCTGCTAAAAATCAGGGACTTAATGAAATACTTTAAAATAAATTAAATACAAAACATGAAGGTAGATCTCATGTATTGTAATTTAGTTAATAATAATAGGGCATATCTATCTTACAAGTTTGGGTTTTAGTTAGATGTTTAAAATTATGTGAGTTTATGTCTAGGATATAAAAGTTACAAGGACATCTATGTGAAGAACCCAAGACGACACATTGTAACGGGAAGCCTGAGCACACAAAAAGCCAAGATAATTTTATTCAACTAAAGAAGGGTACATATGCTTGAAATTGGAGATGACAATCCAGGATAGTTGGGGAGGAGAAAACTATTAATTAATTCTTCAAAAAGATTATAGTCCTAACGCGACATCAACCAAAAATAAAAAAATAAAAATCCTCTTAAGCGGAAAATGGTAACCAATATAGTAACATGGCCTTCTGCAATATATAAAATTCTATTACAAGATATTTACAAAAAAAACAAGTGTAGATATGGGTTTACACACTTGAACAAACTTTAGATTATTAGATTAATAGTAATTAAAATTGATCCAATTTGGGTTTTGTATTGACTCAGACACTGATATGATCAACCAAAAAGGACAAAGAAAAAAAAAACTTCTAGTTTGCATGCAGACATCTGTTTGACCACATATATAGGAGATTGTAAATACTTAATTGAAAAGCCTAACTAACAGGAAAAGAATAAAATATATATGACTGAAGATCATTGAAACAAACCATTGGGGGTTGACAAGAGCACCAAAATGAGGACGAAACAAGGGATTGTAAACTTAGCCATTGTTTTTTTTTTCTTTCTAGAATTCACTTCACTTGTTCTGCTAAAAAGTTGAGACGATGTGCAATTTATATAGAGAGTTAAAATATATAGTCATAAATATATAATTACGTTCAAAATATATATGGTATTTTTAGGCAAATAGTGGGATTTTTGTCTTGAAATGAGAAATTAAAAAAATTGCTCGGGGGTGGAAATGAGGCAATATCTACAATACCTGGAATTAATATGATATGTTTTGAGTTCAACTTGCTAAAACACTCAACCCTAATACTCTGATGAATGATTGGGTTATGATCCAACATAAATAGAAAAAAATCCAATGAAGGTCCCAGGTGGTTGAGAAGATGGGTTTAGTGGCCTATATTCTTTTGCAATATTCTAGGTCCATATATATCAACCCCAACATAGAGATTTTTTTCAAGAAGGAAGGGTATAGATTCTTCAAAGCGAAATTCTATAGTGTAATGGTAAGTAGAACATGAGTTTACGTACTTCACTTCTTACGTCACTTTTTTTGCCAAAAAAAGTTGCGGTGATGTGCGGTTTATATGGGGAGTTGAAACAGTAAAATATAAAATATATATAGTCTTTTTAGCTGACTACTGAAACGTTTGAGAATTAACCCAGTCTTAATCTTTTTTGGGGATTTTATTACTATTTCGAAATCAATAATCTTTCCTTTAAGATGCATGCTAGTTATTCCTGGTATGATACTTTCCTTTTAAAAAATTGGAGTCATTAATGTGCTAGAAATCAGGGAGTATCAATAGGAAATCAGGGAGTTTATGACATGCTTGAAAATAAGTTAAACACAAAACATGAAGGTAGATTGCACATATTGTAATTTTGTTAATAATAATAGAGCATATATATCTTACCAGTTTAGGTTTTAGTTAGACGGTTAAAATTATGTGAGTTTATGTCTAGTATATAAAAGTTGTAAAGACATCTATATGAAGAACCCAAGATGGCACATTGCAACGGGAAACCTGAGCACACAGAAATGACAAAAAGCCAAGATAATTTTATTCAACTAAAAAAGGGTACATAAGCTTGAAAATTGGAAATGACGATCTAGTCTAGTAGGGGAGGAGCCCCCCTTCCTAGCCAACTTAAGGATCTTAGACAAAACCGTTAACTAATTAATAATATTATGGAATAGGGTTGAAAGAAAATCAACATAAGCAATGGCAATGATGATGGTCGCCAAATAGTTTGCAGATGCCTCCCTTCTCACAATCTGAAGTGCAAAATGTCCAGCATTTTCCCCCGTCTGGGTTATCATCCGCACCAGGGACACACTTTCCAAGTTCGGGATGATCAGTACAACACTTAGACCCTTCAACAGTTGCAATCTTCCAAACTGAAATATAAGAAAAAAAATAAATAAAAAAGACAATTAATTAATTCTCCAGAAAGATTATAGTCTTAATGTGATATGAACCAAAAATTAAAAAACAAAAGCCTCTTGAACAAACTCTGCAATATTACAAAATATTTACGGAAAAAACGAGTGTCGACGTGAGTTTAAGCACTTGAACAAACTCTAGATTCTTAGATTAAAAGTAATTAAAATTGATCCAATTTGGGTTTTCTATCGACTCAGACATTGATATGATCAACCAACAAGGAAAAAGAAAAAAAACCAAATAGTTTGCATGCATGGACATCTGTTTGAGCATATATGCATAGGAGATTGGTAATACTTAATTGAAAAGCCTAACTAGCAGGAAAAAAATAAAATATATATGATTGAAGATCATTGAAACAAACCATTGGTGGTTGACAAGAGCACCAAAATGAGGACGAAACAAGGGATTGTAAACTTAGCCATCGTTTTTTATAGAATTCACTTCACTTGTTCTGCTAAAAAGTTGAGACGATGTGCGATTTATATAGAGAGTCAAAATATATAGTCATAAATATATAATTACGTTCAAAATATATATGGTATTTTTAAGGAATTAATTGAGCTTAATTACGTTGTTACAAATGCTACAAATATATAAAGCTCAGTTGACTTTTGAGAATTAAGCCTAGTCTTCAATCACGTCGGCTGCAAAACTAGGGAAGGAAACGCATACTTTCTTTCTTTTAAGGGGTTATTGTTATTTCGAAATCAATTATCTTTCCTTTTCAAGATGCACTAGTTATTCCTGGTATGATACGTCCCCTAGGATCATTTTTGTTCTTGTAATTTGTTTTATTTTGTTAAGAAAAAAAGTTGTCGTTTCTTCTATAAAAAGAAAAAGAAAATCAAATATAAATTATATCTTTTCCATACAATACTATCAAATTTCACACATGTTATTTGAGTTTCACATTAAAATCCGTAATCTAATATATGAAAATTCAAGAATTAGATTAATTAGAGAGGAGTAGTTGATTTCTCTCTCTCTCTCCTATGTGCGCGATGATGATCCTTAGTAATTCATCTTATTGCCAAACAAGGCATGTTGGCTAGGAAGTTATTTTCATATTAATATGGAGATTTTATGGTGTTTGCCACATCAATGACAAAGCGGTACTTAACATCAGCCTTGGCAACTCGTTCAAGGGCAGTATTCACATAATCCATTGGAATAACTTCAACATCTGCTGTGATATTGTGCTTTGCTGCAAAGTCTATCATCTCTTGGGTCTCTTTCATTCCCCCAATTGCACTGCCAGCAACAAGCTTCCTCCCTAGTAATTAAATCACATAATTTAGTTAATTTTGGTCTTAGAGATATAGTTTAGATTACTCTGAAGAAAAAAAGTAATGAGCAAAACTAGGCCGAAAATAAAATGAACTTACCCAAGATTAAAGGGAAAACTGGTAGCTCAGGAGGCTGGATTGGAGCACCAACCAGAATTAGTTTTCCATTGGTCTTCAGCAGGCCAACCAAATGCAAGAGAGGGTGAGCGGCTGAAACTGTATCGATGATACCATCCATTGTACCCATGGCAGCCTAATTCCATATAGTGCAATATTGACATGCAAGTACAAAGAATAAATATAATTTTTTGGAAGAAGTTAGTGCGTGTAGGCGTTACTCAAAACGAGAATTATTGCTAGCTAATGTACCTGTAATTGCTCTTGGTCGTGACTAATCAGAAATTCATCAACACCAAGTTGTTCCACAGCTTCCTTCTTCTTATTGGGGGAGGTACTTATCACAGTAACTTTTGCTCCAACAGCTTTGGCAAACTTCACGGCCATATGGCCAAGGCCACCAAGCCCCACCACACCCAAATGCTTACCAGGCTCCATCAGTCCAAAGTATCTCATAGGGCTGTAAACTGTGATCCCAGCACACAGCATTGGAGCAGTACCTTGTAGTGGAAGGTTTTTGGGGATTTGAACGACGAAGTGCTCATCGACTACTATCTTGTCGGAGTATCCACCGAAGGTTCTTGATCCGTCTTCGTGGTGTTTGTTGTAGGTCCACACCATTTTGGGGCAGTAGTTTTCCAGGTCCTGTGTACAGTTGTCGCATGAGCGACATGAACCCACCATGCACCCAACTCCGGCTATGTCTCCTACTTTGAATTTTGTGACATTGCGCCCCACCTTTGTCACTTCTCCTACAATCTCGTGTCTGCAAAATTTCGATGAAAATGCATATTATTTTCCGAGTTATTTTCATGCCTTCTCATTATTTATAGGGTGACATTTGAGATTAAATTCCATGTACTAAGCTTAGTTGAACCAATAAATTAAATAATGTACCCTGGGACAATGGGATATATGGTCATTCCCACTTCGTCCTTAGCGAGGTGAAGGTCTGAGTGGCAAATTCCACAATAGAGTATCTTCATGCTGATATCTTTATCACCATTGCCTCTGCAAGTACCCCCAAAAAAAAAAAAAAACAAAAAAACAAAAAAACCACACAAGTTTGGTGAAGCCTATATCTTAAGAATTATTAATTCAAAATGAGTTCTAGAGGGAGCCCATATTTAAATAAACGAAAAACTGTCACATAAGATTTAGAGAAATGGCGTGGAAGGGAAGAAAAAGTAACTCAAATACCTCCTGGTGAAGTGGAAGGGAGAAAGAACACCAGAGGAATCTCTAGCTGCCCATCCATAGGCTTTCACTGCTTGTTCTTCGGCCCCTGATATTTCTTGAGACATTATTGTACCTTAATCAATATTGTGTATGATCTGTGTATGTACCTTGAGAGAATTGAAATGAGGCAGAGTGTTGTGGTGTCTTGATTGGGGGTTTACGAAGAGATATATAGCATACGGTTGGGTAAGCTTCAAGAAAGAAAGGAATGCACCAGTTGGCGGAAATATTATATCATATGCATATTTGAAACTGTGAGAATCAGCAATGACGTAGTGCGATCGACTTGGCGGCCATGTATGAATTTTCTCCTCCTACTTTTCAAACCATTTAAAAAGTTTTTACCCCATCCTCAAGCCAAAGAACATGCGTTGACCAAATCAACGGAGCTACCAAGACAAAATTATATAAGGGGAGAAGAAAAATCACAAGTCTTAATTGGATGAGTCTTGCCTCTTGGAACATATTTGATTACCTTATGAAGATAGAGGCATTCACAGAGGGAGGATTAAATCGAGAGACGAGATCAGTTTAGGAGGAGATCGGTTGGAGTGAGTCTCTTTTGTTTTTTCTACCTGCTAAAAGTGTAACGTTGGATTTAATATTTGCTTTGGCGATGCTCTTAGTTTGTTGGCCTCTTGGAATCGGTAGTGTAGGTGTCATGTTAATGTATTTGATTGTATTATTGAAGTTTATCTAATGAAATTTCTGTTTGATAAAAAAAATTCACTACTACAAAAATCGCAATAGACGACGGTATATCCGATTTTTCAACTGTCATGAAATCGATCGACATCTTTTTATGCATAAAACCACGACGGTAAATCCCCATCGTCTATTATTTGTAAAGACGACGCTTTTACTCAAAACCGTCGTCTATTATATGTAATGACGACGGTTTTTTGAAAGAAATGTCGTCTATTAGATGTAAAGATGACCCTTTTCGAAAGAACTGTTGTCTATTAGATGTAAAGACGATGGTTTTTTTGAAATCACTATCGTCTATTATATGTAACAAATCTTTATTCCTACCACATCGATAACATTAACCTAAATAATGAAGCTAAATGTAATTGCTCATAAATTCTACCAATTCGATATGAACTTCAATTTGTTCTTGAGTGTGTCAGTTAGCTCTGTCTTCTTGCACATTTTCCATGTTGTATTCTCCTCCCCTGTAGCAGTATCAGCAACAACATGTCTCTTCTTGGCTTGTAAAATTAACATCAATCTTTACAAATGAAGCTTGAGACATAGTGGTTTAAACAACAGTTTGTTTAAGCACCTGCCACATTAGATACAAACTTAATAATACTATTTTAGTTATTCACTGATTTTATGTTTCAATAAACATGGCCATGAGGAAAATATACATACATGAAGGGTGCAAACAGTATCCGTAGCTAACAAGATAACACCAAGTGCTCCATGTAGAGAACTAAAATAAAAAATATGAGCATAAAAGGGCAAAAATAAGAAGGAATAAATGTTTCAAATACAACACAAATATAAACTTAAACTACAAAAACGTGAACACTATCAACTTGAAACTGCTGTTGGTATACCACAACAACCTACAACTTTGGGAATTACCTGGAAGCAGAGGACAAGGTCTCCAACCTTCAAATTTTGACAAAGTCACCCTGTACATAAAAGGACCACCAAGAAATCCAATGACAAAGTCACCTTTGTTTGTGTACTAACCATGCCCCATTTTTCGATCACCTTGCCTCAAATTCCAACTTTCATATGTTTCCCGTATTTTCTTCTACTTTCAAATGCACAATAGTAAAATAATAAAATGATATGTGAATGATATTATGTGAAACAGAAACAGTTTAAACTTGAAATAACTTATTAGATATGACATTCAGTGGCTGGCAGGTAATAGAATGACAAATTTATAAACTAGTGTATATAATACAATTCAAAACTTCAACTAGCTCACCATACAATAATAAGATTTAACCAGTTTGCAAAAAGCCTTAGAAGCTTGCATATTACTGCAGCCTAGACATAAAAGCAACAAGAGGTTATGAGAAGCACCTTTAGGTACTTCAGAACTTCTGAGTGCCTTATTTGAAGGGTGAATTCCCTATTGCTCAGAGATATTTTGGATACGTTTGGCAACTATTACGCTCTATTCTGCAACCAACTTTGCACCTAAGACAATTGCAATAGAGTAGGGCTCTAAAAATGATTAATCAAGGACACCTTATGGTAACAATAGTAACAAGAATATCATGGTTTTATACTACAATAAAAGTAAAGGAAGAGAGAGTGAATGAAATGTGCAACCTCAGTCCATTTCACAATCGGTTTCCCAGCACGACCGGCGGAGTGACTGCATAAGCATAAGAAGCCCAAGCAAGATTTAAGAGTAGGGACAAAAATTTCTCCGAAAGAAGAATCAGTACAATATGAAATTCTAACCATGAAATGAAACTCACTTAAAACATTTTGCAATATTTTGACAAAATTGTCACTCCAGCACTTGTTCTCCTAATTCCCTTAGCAATCTCTCCATTTTTTGAGTCTGTTCATAATGGTGGTGGAAAAAACCAAATAAAAGCAAAGCACAATTAATTTCAACAGATAATCTCTCCATTTTCTAAGTCTGTTCAACAAACATTTATTATTTACAAAAATAATAAAGACCAAGAAGAAAAAATTGAGAAAAAGCCAGTCAATCCAGCTTTGCAAACCGACCTTGTATGCTTAATTGTTTCATAAAGTTGTTATATGTCCACCAATCTTAGTAACTAGTTAATCCCAAGCTTCCTCCTCATCTCCTGAGAATCAAATCAAAAAATCTAAAAAGAAACCAGAAATTAAAAAAATATGTAAACAAACCAGACAAATCATGAGAGACAAAAAATCTGAAATCAGGGAGACAATCTCGAATTCACTAGCAAGATATAGAAGGGTATTGAGAGATTAGGTGACTTTCAAATCAAACCTTTCGAAAGGTAGGAGGCTAGGGTTTTGATCTTCACAATTATTAGGAGATTAGGACAATACAAATTTATAAATAAACCCAATCCTAGACATGTATTTATAAAAAAACCCAAGCACTATTTAAACATAGAAACACACCCAAAATCAACCCCAAAGTCAACTTTTTGGGTGTGTTTATAAATGGGTTTTGAGTGTGTGTAATGATGGGTTTTGGGTGTGTTTATAAAGTGTTTTGGGTGTTGGGTTTTTTTATAATTTCAACCTCCATTTTGGGTGTTTTAGTGAAACTCCCTTAGGACAATTATAAGGCTTGGACCTTCAGAGGAGTGCGAGGGCCAAGGGCCTAAAGTGGTGACGATAGCCAGGGGCCTGAAGTGGCCTGCGTGACAGATTTCGACGAGTCTTTCTAGATCGCGACTACGAAATTGGAGAGCTAACCAGACTAAGCCGCTAAGGTTGATGAGAGAGTTGAACACCTGAGATGGAGATCATTGTTAAAGAGCGTGGAGATCAAGATCTTCACCATCCAACCAGCTTTGATTCTCAGATATAGAACCTCCCTCTCCATTTTGTGGATCTGTGAAGACCTCAATCTCTCAACCCCTTCATTGATATCGATTTTCTGATGAATTTGTAGAGAGTTTCATGAGGGTGTTTCAGAGAGCTGAGGAGGGTTTCAAGGAGGGAGATATAAGGTTTTCAGAGACGGGAAAAATCTAAAAATTTGTCGAGCGCGAATTCACTTAAACGGCCTTTTTTTAGCGTGTTTTAAAAGACGACGTTTGTTAGTGACAAGAGTCGTCTTTTAAAAATCAAGTGGCCTTTTTTTTGTTCAGCGTGTTTTAAAAGACGACGCTTGTTAGTGACAAGCGTCGTCTTTTAAAAATCAATCTAACTTAGTAGTGTATAAGATGATATATCATGACGGTTTTAAAAACACCATCGTCTTTTGAAACATAACAACAGTTTTAAGATGCACCATCATCTATTTTGTGTCGTGGTTTAATTATTTTGTAGTAGTGATTGTTGGATCTGATCTTATTTCTAAAGGAGATTATTTATATATATATATACACACATATGTTATGACATCAATTTTTAAAGACTTGTCATTTATAAGCATATATAACTCTCTCAATCTTGGTGAAAATTGATCCAACAATTATATATTTGAGCATCTTTAAGAGAATCTCCAAGGGAGATGTCAAATATCAAACATTAAAATTGGAAAAACGAGCACCATGGAAATACATATCACTCAGTCAAAGAAAGATGATGGAGAGTTAACCGAAATGGGGGACTAGGAGATTGGATCTAGCCGTAAGAAGAATGCTTGGCTAATAAATAACTCACTTCTTGGTCTTCTTCCCCCTCTGTCACTACGAATGCCCTCGATCAGTGCAATGAGATGTGTATAATTATCTATTTGAATATGATGGCGTAAGTTTTAATTTGACATATAATAAAGTTTTATATTATATCTCAAATTAAAATATTATTTTATTACATTAGGATTGATTTATTTATTACTTTCAAGTCACATCAATTAAAAATAATAATTAAATAATTAAATAACATCACAAAGTCAAACATAAAAAAATGACAGCAGAATGGAGACATTATTCCACGTTGAATTTAAGGAGATGCTTCATCATGATTATTTATGGTGTTTGCCACATCAATGACAAAACGATACTTAACGTCACCCTTGTCAAGTCGGTCAAGGGCAGTGTTCACATAATCTATTGGAACAACTTCCACATCTGCTGTGATATTGTGTTTTGCTGCAAAATCTATCATCTCTTGTGTCTCTTTTAGTCCCCCCATTGCACTACCCGCAATAAGTTTCCTCCCTGTTTTTTTACCCAAAAAAAAAAAAATCCCAATATCAATTACATCAATTTGAAATCACTATTTTGTGAAGAAAAAAAAAACCCAATAACAAGAAAACAGGAAAAAAAAATTAAAAAATAAAAAAGGAGAAGGGAAATTACGTACCCATAATTATAGGGAAGACTGGTAGCTCAGGAGGCTCAATTGGAGCACCCACCAAAATTAGTTTTCCACTAGTCTTGAGCAAGCCAATCAAAGGCAAGAGAGGGTGAGGGGCTGAAACGGTGTCAATGATACCATCCATAGTTCCCATGGCAGCCTAAAAATATTATATGAAAATTAGTATTATACTGAACACATTGGCTTTTTTTCTTTGCGCTTGAGGGCAATGTAAACAATTTTTTTAATAAATAAAAAAACTTATTAATTACCTCTAGTTGCTCCTGATCATGACTGACCAAAAAAGAATCAGCACCAAGCCTTTCCACTGCTTCCTTCTGCTTGCTTGGAGAAGAACTTACCACCGTGACCTTCACACCAAACGCTTTGGCAAACTTCACGGCCATGTGACCTAGGCCACCAAGCCCGACCACACCCAAGTGCATGGCGGGCTTCGAGAGGCCAAAATGTTTCAGGGGGCTGTACACGGTAATCCCGGCACACAACAATGGGGCAGTACCAGCTAATGCAAAACCATTTGGGATTAGGACTGCATAGCGCTCCTCCACAACCATGTTATCAGAATACCCGCCAAAAGCTCTTGTCCCATCTTCATGCTGTCCTTGGAAGGTCCATAACATTTTGGGACAATAATTTTCTAAGTCTTGTTTGCAGTTATCGCATGAGCCACATGAACCAACTATGCACCCCACTCCGGCTATATCCCCAACTCTAAATTTTGTGACATTTTTCCCAATTCTTGTCACTTGCCCCACAATCTCATGCCTACAAAAATTATCAAAAAAAGAAAAGAAAAATTTATTCATTAAATTTTACAATATAGTGTAATCCAGCTTGATCACCTGAAAAGAAATTTTACCCGGGGACAGTTGGATAGAGGGTCGGCCATATTTTGTTCTTGACCAGATGAATGTCTCCATGGCAAATTCCACAGTAGAGTATCTTTACGGTGATATCATCATCGCTGTTAGCTCTGAACACAAAAGCATGCAACGATCGTCTTGTTAAGTCGAAAATTAAGCTAGTTTTAGCGCAAATACGATAAACCAAATTGCCCATCGTAGTATAAAAGATTTCGAGTCTCTCCATCCATTAGCAAGTGGTTTTACGTACATTGATTATGAAAAAAGAAAAAGTTTGAGTTACCTCCTAGTGAAGTGAAAGGGGGAGAGAACTCCCGAGGAATCTCTTGCAGCCCATCCATAGGCATTGACAGGTGGTTTTGCTTCCGATGCTGCTTTAGTCATTGGCCCTATGTTGAGAGATTGATCAAAGACGTGAAAGCTAGCTCCAATTTACCGAAGATTAATAGTTGTTTTGAATTTGAGGTGAGTATAGATTTATAGCAATAATTTCGCTTGATTAGAATGTAGAAGTATATGCAACAGATTTGTTGCTGTCAGCAGTGACGTTTTTTCTACCTACTTTTCAAAACCTTTACCTTCTTATGATGTGTATGAGAGATTCAAACCCCGAAAATGGACTTAGGTGTTGGATTTTTATATTTATTTTATTATAAGATTCAAACCTTTATTATTAGTTAAATAATAATATGAAAAGTAATAATTGTTGGATTTAAAAGGACAGTCATAATCTTTTATTAAAGATTTTCGGATTATTCGCAGCAATGGTCCCTCAATTATACCCGTAGTTACAGTTTGGTCACTCAATTCAATTATTAGTTGCAGAGGTCACTCAAGTAGGTGTTTTGTTGCACCATTAGTCCTTCTGTCAAGTTTATGACTTTTTCCGTTAAAAATGAGGGCAAATTTGAAAATTCATCCACAACCCTCTCTTTCCTCCACAATGCTCCATTGCCACAACCCAATGAATGGAGGAAGGATTATGAAGTCTTGTATTCTACCAGCAAACCAGTCTCATGGTATTTGATGAATGGAGGAACTATAACCCAGTCAAGGAAAATAATACCAAAATCAAGCAGAAATTATATCTTTTCCAGCTTTTCTTCTAATAGATATTTGGTACCAAAGCAGAAATTATACCAAATAGATATTTCAAATCCCAAACAACCATTGAACTAAAGCAGAAAATAATACCAAAGCAAAAATTATTCAACTAAAAAAGGGTACAAGTAAGTGAGGATTGGATTGGCTCTAGTTTGGTTGTATTTATGTGTTTTGTAATTTTCTTGCTCTGCTGCTTGTTATTTTTGTTCTTCTTCTTGGAATTTTTAATAAATTTCATTACTTAATTATGTTGAATTTAATTTTCCAGATTGTTTGGTTTGTTTATCTCTTTAAAACTGAAATTATTTTGTGTATTTATTATATATATGAATTTATTATATTATATAAGTGTTAATATCCATTTGATTGGGTTTTAATTTCGTGTTATTGTTGTGGTCTTATAATTGCTTTTAATATCATTTCCATACCGTTGGCATTTAAATATTTGAGTCCAAAAATTATTTGTGTCGGTTTTGGTTCACCAATTTTTATTTTGCACATTCAATATTTCCTAAGAATCAACTTAGTGCCCGTTTGGCATTTCTTATTTAAGGTGATAAGTGATTTTTAAAAAATTTTGCTGTGGTAAACTACGAGAACATAACTTATTGCTGAAAATTACATAGAATTTTAAAATGACGGAATTTAGATTTCCATCATTTCAATTTATGGCAATTGAAGATTTCAATGTTTGGATTTATGCATGTCGAATTTTGTAAATACGGAATTTTGTAAATAGCATCATGGAAATTGTGAAATAACACCTATATCGGTGAATATTAAACTCGGGAATCTGATGCCCTAATTTCCACAGTTTTTTCCTCGCGTCATTTAATAAATTCCACGCTTAAGTTGCCAAACAAGTAAATTCTGAGTTGTTTTTCGTCATCCAAACGAAGGGTAAGGGAAAACAACTAATGAGGTGCTTTCATTTTCTGATTATGCGGGACTCAGTTTCGAAGAAGTACTAGGTTTAATGATTATGCGGGAATCATTTTCTAATTATGCGGGAATTAGTACCAACAACACTTATAACAAAAAGTTTACCAAATGCCAAACTGCTTTCCCTCACAACTGATTTCTCTCACAGCAAATCTGACGGCGATTATTTTCACAGTACAGTAATGCCAAACTGGCCCTTAGTGAAATCCCATCTCCGGCTATTTTTTGAGCTAAGAACTAGTACATAGATTAGGTCAAAATGTACCAAACTATCGGCAATAATTGGCCAAATTCTGATACAAATGTTTCAGTTTTTTTTATAACAAGTGCAATATGTTAAAACAATGTGGTATGGTTTATAGTTGGCTTGTAAGTTTCATTAGACGTGGGTTAGGCCAGTTGACAAGTGCAGTGAGCCTATTCCTTTGTACTGAACTTTAATTTAGAATAGTCTATTGCTTGTATTTAAAATTTTTTTAAAAAAAACCTCTTAAGTTTGATGCAAATTGCTACTAGGTCCAGATGCTGCTTCAATTTGGTTTGTTTCATTTGTCAAAAGCAGCTCATAGGGAAGCTGCTAGTCCAAGACGCTGCGTTTTGCGTGTTGTTTTATTTTGTTGCAAAGTGCCACGGAACGAGAGAGGCTGGGTAGGCCTCCTAATTTAAGCAGCATCTGGACCTAGTAGCAATTTGCATCAAACTTAAAGTGCACAATTAACTAATTTTCCGTTTGGTTCCACAGAAAGAAACTAAAGCAAAATTTAGAAAACCAATTATAATAAACCAAAGCTAGAGTTTTGAAGCGTGTTTATGATTCACTTATATATATTCTTAATGCTTCTTTCATTGTTTGTTCATATATGTATCTATGCGTTTGTATTTCAGTTGTTATTATGACATACTCTTGCTAGTTCTGTGTGAAAATTGTCGTTGCTAAAATACGAAAACTATGAGAGAATATTTGGTTGTGGGAATTTTTTGTGTATTCTTCTCCTTGTAGGAAGTCATATTTATAATACAATGAAACTTGAATGGACAAGTAAATAATAAATTCCTAAATCTATTTACAGTAGGAAATCATGAATTAAAGTAAATCAATTACAATTATAATAGGAATTCTTGGTGTGTAAGGAAAGTAAGTCAATATCCACAAGTCACGCCAACACTCCCCCTCACGTTGGTGCATAGATGTCGCCAATGCCCAACTGATCCAGTGAATTGTGGAATGCTTTACTGGAAATCGTCTTTGTCAAAATATCTGCCAATTGATCCTCGGATTTCACAAAAGGAAACTGAAACACTTTAGCCTCAAGCTTCTGTTTGATAAAGTGTTGATCCACCTCAACATGTTTAGTACGATCATGCTGAACTGGATTCTGTGTAATGACTATAGCAGCCTTGTTGTTACAAAAGAGATTCATTGTGGATGTAGGTTATACCCAAGTTCAGTAAGCAAATTTCTTAAACAAAGAAGTTCACAAATCCCTTTAGTCATGCCTCTAAACTCGGCTTCTGCACTGGATAAAGCTACTATATTCTGTTTCTTGCTCCTCCATGTCACCAAATTACTTTCCACGAATTTGAAGTAACCCGATGTGAATTTTCTATCTGTTACATTACCTACCCAATCTGCATTTGAATAACCATCAATATTTAGATGACCATGCTTTGATAACATAAGTCTTTTTCCAGGTGCAGACTTTAAATATCTAAGTATCCGAAGAATTGCATTCATGTGGTCTTCACTTGGAGAGTGCATAAATTGACTGACAATGCTCACCGCATAAGCAATGTCTGGTCGAGTATGTGACAAAGTTTACTATTCTTTTGAGGTAAACGCAAGTTCACTTAATTTTCGGGATAATAGCTATAATTATTTGGGCTTATGTAACTTGTTTATGATATCCAACTTGATCCAATTCAACCCAACCAAGTAAACCCGATTTGTCTCTCTCTTTTCCAAACAACGTTATTTAAACCCACTCAAGCTCAAGCATTTACTTTTCTAGTTAGAGAACAACATCTTAGGTAAATGTCTCATGCGTTCCCCGATTGGATTGTGAGTATTTCAATACAAAAATAAATTTCTTTACTTAATTAAGTTGAATTTAATTTCCATGTTGTATGGTTTAAACTGAAATTATTTTGTGTATTTATTATATATATGAATTTATTATATTATATAAGTGTTAATATCCATTTGATTGGGTTTTAATTTCGTGTTATTGTTGTGGTCTTATAATTGCTTTTAATATCATTTCCATACCGTTGGCATTTAAATATTTGAGTCCAAAAATTATTTGTGTCGGTTTTGGTTCACCAATTTTTATTTTGCACATTCAATATTTCCTAAGAATCAACTTAGTGCCCGTTTGGCATTTCTTATTTAAGGTGATAAGTGATTTTTAAAAAATTTTGCTGTGGTAAACTACGAGAACATAACTTATTGCTGAAAATTACATAGAATTTTAAAATGACGGAATTTAGATTTCCATCATTTCAATTTATGGCAATTGAAGATTTCAATGTTTGGATTTATGCATGTCGAATTTTGTAAATACGGAATTTTGTAAATAGCATCATGGAAATTGTGAAATAACACCTATATCGGTGAATATTAAACTCGGGAATCTGATGCCCTAATTTCCACAGTTTTTTCCTCGCGTCATTTAATAAATTCCACGCTTAAGTTGCCAAACAAGTAAATTCTGAGTTGTTTTTCGTCATCCAAACGAAGGGTAAGGGAAAACAACTAATGAGGTGCTTTCATTTTCTGATTATGCGGGACTCAGTTTCGAAGAAGTACTAGGTTTAATGATTATGCGGGAATCATTTTCTAATTATGCGGGAATTAGTACCAACAACACTTATAACAAAAAGTTTACCAAATGCCAAACTGCTTTCCCTCACAACTGATTTCTCTCACAGCAAATCTGACGGCGATTATTTTCACAGTACAGTAATGCCAAACTGGCCCTTAGTGAAATCCCATCTCCGGCTATTTTTTGAGCTAAGAACTAGTACATAGATTAGGTCAAAATGTACCAAACTATCGGCAATAATTGGCCAAATTCTGATACAAATGTTTCAGTTTTTTTTATAACAAGTGCAATATGTTAAAACAATGTGGTATGGTTTATAGTTGGCTTGTAAGTTTCATTAGACGTGGGTTAGGCCAGTTGACAAGTGCAGTGAGCCTATTCCTTTGTACTGAACTTTAATTTAGAATAGTCTATTGCTTGTATTTAAAATTTTTTTAAAAAAAACCTCTTAAGTTTGATGCAAATTGCTACTAGGTCCAGATGCTGCTTCAATTTGGTTTGTTTCATTTGTCAAAAGCAGCTCATAGGGAAGCTGCTAGTCCAAGACGCTGCGT